TTGTTACTGCTTAACCTTCTTCTTTACATAGCAGAGATTTCATAGGAAAACGTGGAAAACGTTTTTTTAAGAGCAAGATATAATCGTTTTTCCTCACTTAAGCAAGTGTAAAATACTGATAAAATACTGCGAAAATATTGGGGTACGGTAACACGCTGAGTCTGCGCTACTACGTGAATCGAAAGGGAAGGCGACAAGAATGGAACGTATATATTCGATAGGCCAAGCCTCGTAATCTACATTGAAGTGATCTGAGCCTGATTGGTCTTCTTTCGCCTGAGATATTGAAAACGAAAAATGGAACAAACGAGATTTTGGCTTGCTCTTAGTTCCTTAATTAATTTGGAGGTCATTTGAAGTAGGATTCCTAGTGTGAGCAAAGAAATAGTAGTTCTTTGTATTAAGCGCAAAAAGAAGTAGCTAACTTACCTTTGAAGCAAAGTAACATGTTTGAAAACGACCCTCTCACTTAGGTGGCCTTGTATTTGGAAACCTCAGAATTCGCTGAAACTTGACTTACAGGAATTACTTAACCTTCTAGTTATGAAAATGATGCTCTTATGCTTATACGCTCTTTGATTATGCTTACTGTACGTATACGATAGTGGGTCAAACACCTGTGTAGTATTTTGCATGACGGGCCTATTTGACATCGTTAATGAATATCATGTTATGCGAACAGCGGATGCCTTGATAACGACCATCCTGCTCCTCCCTGGTGCTCCTCCTCCTTCCTCAATGCGACCCCCCAGGTGTGGCATGCCACACCCCACGCTTGACCCTATTTATAACACATGCCCCACTCCATGCATTGCGTATGCCAAATTTGGCTCAGCTTCATTACTCCTTCTATCCTTTTTAAGAGATCATAAAGATTTTTTCCAGCAAAAACATTAAAAAATCAATAAATCGATAGAAGCAATGGGTGAGTCCTGAACAAAATGGCTTATTAACACATGCCCCACTCCACGCATTGCGTATACCAAATTTGGCTCAGATTCAGTTACTCTTTCTATCTTTTTTGGGGGAAGATAAGTGGGTTAGCCAAATATTAAGTCGTTCCGAAAGTAGTGTCGCTTTTTTCAAATGAATGCCACTATTCGTGGAATCAACATTTTCAAAAGAATTTAGGAGCATTGATGCAGCATTTCATCTTCTTTCTGATGGTTCTAATTATCTGCATAATGTTCAATGAGCTCTCGAAAAATTACCAAAATCTGCGACTCATGCTCTTCGCCATGGTCAAATTCGGCTATTTTTCTAAATTTTTGTACCTAATCTCCGAAAAAGTACAAGTGGCAGGTATATAGAGCAAACACTATAAAACACAGAGTAATTCTTTCTTTTCCTTAGCTTGCTACTTAGAGTTTCTGGAATCAATTTTTCAATGCTATCAACTCCTATTTGGTCAACTCAAATCTTACAGAACAACAACCGGCAAGCAACTCGGATGTCATTCGACGCAGCTTCTTCTCCTCTTTCTATTAGTTGTTTTTTGTTTCCGATTCATCAAGTTTTCCGGCATAAAATCATCATAATGCAACTTTTCCAAGGCACCCCAAGGTCTACCCGAAATTTCGAAAGTTGCTAAACCGAAGTGGTGAATGTTCGTTTGGTTTGTAAAATTGTTGTCAAACCGTAATCCATCTTTGTAACTTTCAAAATTAGGAGACTTTTGGCGTTTGATGCACTTTTGTCTGAGACGAGCCTGCTAAAATTTGGTGATTCCGTCAAAAAATCTGTACAAAAATTATGACGAGCTCTGGAAAGTAGGAAAAAGTTGTGCTGTTTCCTGTAGGGTTTGCTTCATCCATTCATTACTTGGACTTCTTCTGTGGTTTGTTATAAAATTTTAGAAAAATTGTGAAACTTGGCCATCTTAAAAAGCATAGGTCGCAGATTTTGATTCTTTTCTAGAAGCTCATTGACCGTATTGCAACAACTTCATAACACTTAGAAAGAGAATGAAATGCTGCATCAAACGCTACTAGAATCTCTTACATATCTTTGTTCCACGAGATGTGGCATACGTTTGAAAAAAGCGACATTACATACGGAACGACCTAATATTAATAAGAAATGATTCTTACAAGGGAATGGTCAGAAATCGAAGTGGCCATTCCAGACAAGCTGCATACCATTAGATGCAGCATGAAGCGCTGACTCTAAATCTGTTTTCCTTACCTGCTCATCGCTTCTCTGGACGAAGCCGTAAGCCATTAAAGGCCATTATTTTGCTAAGAAATTATGCGTGAAAGTGAAAATTTAGCCGTACAGAGCCACGTTCGCTTTAATGCTGAGCCAAAACATGCAGCCAAGTTACTTCAAATTTTTAAAGCCTGAAGCTGAGCTAAAAGTGCAACAATGTGCTCAATTTCGCTGTTTTTATGTATGATTTTTTCACAATAAAACTGCTTGTAGCTTCGTTCACAGAAGCGATAAGCAGATAGGGAAGAAAGATTCGAAATCAGCGTTTTATACTGCATCTAATAATATACAGTTTGTTTGGTTTGGCCACTTTGACTTCTGAACATTCCCTTGTTAGCATAGAACAGTAAAGGTTGCCACTTTGTAAAGAGTATAAAATTTATCACTTTCATCGTCTCCTCAAAAACAACTCAGTCATGCTTGAAACAACGCTTTTCTGATGCTTGTAAATAATGAAATTTGTAGCAAGTAATAGTTTCTAGAGCTCGTAGATGCATGATGTTACGGAAATCATGCACAGCGGGGGAGGGAATGAAATTTTGATATTTGCTGTAACTTTGGTATTAGAGTTACAGATGTGCTGTTCACAACCTATCCGATTTGCAGCAAACAGTGAACTTATGAGATGACATTCACCATGCCGTTTTTGTTCTTCGCCCTGCTCAGTCGTAGCTGTTTTTCATAAACGAACTCTAGTGGAGTGCCCCCTTCCTCCATCTCCTTTCCAGCACGATCCCCTCCCCTTCTCCCTTCTTGAACAATTATTAATTAGCTCAACTTCTAAGTTAGCACTAGAGCTATTGCACACTATTTTGCGTGCTGCTTGTCTCAATCCGCCTTATTTTCCCTAGCGCTATTTCCAAAAAAAATTTGTCCACAAATATGCACTATCGCACTTGTTTGAAAGTTGAGAAAAATAGAAACTTAAACCTAGTAGTTTCAAATTTTGGTGAACCCATGGCGTCACGGCCCGAGATATGTTTGATTTGAATCCTTCAAAAAATCTTGCCAATTATTATTATTATTTTTTGCCAAGCCAAGTGCACATTTTATACACACAAGTTGGCCGTGCCGGCTCCATCGCGTCAATGATATAGTCGTAATCAGCATGCTCACTTACCCCCCCCCCTCAGGCCAACTAGGTTCGTAGCTCCAAATTTGCAAAAAACTGATAAAATCAATATCGAACGATATTGAAAAGTAGCCTGTGGCACTCCCCCCCCCCCCTCCCCCCACACATACACACATACACACACGCACACATACACACATACACACATGCACACATACACACATAAACACGTACACACATACATACATACATACACACATACACACATACACACATACACACACACCTTCAGCTTTATATATAGAATATAAGCAAAGGAATGATGAAGGCCCAGAAACAGTTTCAGTTTAGGGGGCGCGAACGCAGCGCGCGCGTATCCTCACCGTTGTGAATCCCGCGCCTCATGCGCTCTGCAGCTAATAATGCCGCATTCGCGCCCAAAGGTATTACGCCTTCGTCATGCAGCAGCGTATAACTTCCAAAAACCCATCTGGGTGGGAATATTAGAATGCTGTTAAGCTGTGAGTTGTAGAACAAAGGTGTTTCGTTGATTCTATAGAGACGCTCGTGAGGCCCGTTTTTCGAACTGCAAGCAGGTGAAGCTTAGAAGAATTTAGCTTGTTAAAGGCAGTGGCTCGGCAAAATCGCACATCTCGAAATTTTTATACGGAAGGTTGCTTGTACCCCAAACACGACAATGGAGCAGGTCCGAGCGCACAGCATGCAACCCTGCCTAGAAAATTGCCTCTAAACCCGTGCGCGCAAGAAATTCTTGCATGAGCTCGGACGAGCTTGCGATTCCTCTCTCACCGTCAGAGCGGCATGCCGCAATGCTAAAAACATGAGGGTCCCGCAACGACTCTGCGTCTTTAACCATGGCGGGGAGCGTTCCACTCATCCAAATACAAATTGAGGGGGCTTGGAAAATGCTAGCTTTCGCCATTTAATGCCATTTTCGCGCTTTAAAAAGTGCTCTTCCAGAATCAATGCTTTGGATTACCCCAGGTAAGCGAAAAAACCAAAAGTCGAGGATTTGCCGAGCCTCTGCCTTCAAAGGCAGACATAGCTTCAGGTATCGAATGCTAATTTACGGCTTTCTTCAAGATATGAGGAACAAAGGCTACTCTGTAATATTTTCGAGCCATTTGATGTATTATCACAAGCGAAATTTTGTTTGATATTCAGATTCTACTATAGGAGCTTTTTTTTCATCCGGTTTAAATTGCCAATCTGGCAACATACGCTACAACATACACTCTTATCTTGCATCAACATCTTTGCAGTGAGCGAATCCTACCAATGCTTCTCGTTCTGCCTGCTTTGTGACTCTTAGGGTCTTCAGAGTCTAGTCAGCAGAGCCTTGCTATCTTTCAGGGGCAGTTGGCGGCACGAGAAACTCTAGGGGAGCAGATGCGGCAGTCACCTTTCGCGGTATTCATCAACAAGCAATGGGTTCAGCTACCCACATGGTTCGCGTTCCATGGGTCTGCGTAACTACTGAGTAAAATAGACATTTGCAAGTGATGTGCTGGATGCGCTAACGCATTAGTTTTATGATACCGGTCTCATAAGCTAAGGCTAATCACTGGAACTATGGAATCTACTGAGTTTGTTGATGAATCTGCCACTGTGTACCACATCGGCTACTCGGTTGAGCAAGATACTTTTGCTATTTTTGTAAACTTGACCATGGTGGATTTCTAACTTATTCTGTTTTTAGAAAAAATTTATCCAGTGGATGACTACTATACGTATAATAAGGAAGAGAAAGGTCTGTTCAGTCATCATAGAGCCCGGCATTGGGGTGGCAAATGGACTGGAATCCTATGAAAGAAATTCGCTTTTGCGATTTTTAACTTACGACTTCCCCTTTGATCGTGCCAGCTGTGTGAAGGTGGTACGCATTCCTCACGCAGAGCCGGGGTGTTTGTTGCTATTTTGGGCCCGCAAAGAGAAAAGAAAGCTTCTTAAACCAAAATATTTTACGTATAAGTCCATAAAATTCATACGATAATCCTGTTCTTATTGTGCATATACACATCAAATTTGGAGCTACATCGTCACCTTGAATGTTGCAAACAAGTCATCTTTCCAATCCTACATAGCGAGAATTTTTTAGTAAGAGCTTACCATATCTTTCAAACAAATAACTTCTCAAACTCAAAGCTTGTTCCTTTTAGCCCTTGTTCGTTTACTTACCATCTTTGATATCACATTGTTGTCCTTTCGCTGTAAACAAGTCAGTGTTTATTATCTTGCACAAAGGAACTTGTTTTTGGGAAGAGTGTTTCAAAGAAGACCGTTTTGCGGTCAGTCGTGCAACTTGTTGAGGGGTTCGTATGTGCAGGTAAAAGGTTTTTACAGCATTTTTGCTTTTACTCCTCAAAATGATTTCAAGCTTGATATTTCTCACCCTCATGCCGGACCCTGGACACGATACAAGTAGTGCATTTGATTTTACACCGTGACAAAAATTACAGCCTGTCTCTCACATGACACGACCCAGTCGGAGTTCGAAAATGAATTTGAAAGTCAGCCATGCATACATTTTTTTGGCCATATGAAATTTTTTGAAGAGGCCCACTATATCTACAATAAGATTCAGGTAGGTTTATCCAAATGCACATCATTCAAAGATTAGTAAGTATGACAGGATATTGAAAAAATCACCGGGTGCCTTACTATCTATCGCTCCAATTTGGTACATGCGAACTTTTCAAAACTCAGGGAAATTGAACATGATGAAAACTTTTGCGGTTGCACTCAAGTTTACGACTAATTTTGTTACTCCAAATGTACGCATTGCAGATACAAATTATGCATTAAGGATAATTGGAAATCATAAACTGTTATCAATCACTTTTCACGACGATTTCAAAGTGCAACCAAATGTGAGAATGCTGAAACTTGGAAAATATGGTTTTAACTTGTTTGCAGAAAACTTTTATGAGCTCAAATTATGTCCTTGATAGGAACTTAAGCACACTGAGAGACAGCATGTTTGACTTCGGCCGGACAACAGGTAGGCTAGGTTCTTTTCGTGCAATGCATAAAGATCAATATTGGTTGTCGAGAAAGTAATGTTGATTTCTATTTGCCTGCTATGGCAATCAGACGATCTCTTAAAAAAGCATGAGGAGAACTGCATGATAGTAAGAAGCAAGCTCTGCAAGACCGCAATCAGATGCTTACTCGAGATTCGTTCCACATAAAGTTTGAAGCATATACAGGGTGTTCCAAAAAGATGTGCACACTGTTTGATTTTTAATAACTCTCTTGCTTTCATGTCTTTTGCCGAGCTTAAGATACTATTCTTCAGAGCGAGTTCAACTTAGATTTGCAGTATGGAGCGACTTATCAGCAGCTCTTCATTACTGTAGGATTACGGTAAAATTTCGAGGAGGATTTTAAGCCATTGAAAGCGGTATTTTGCCAGTATTTTGCCTCAGAAAGAAAGCCAAACAAGCCAGGAACTTTTGATCTGGGTTAATCGAAGTTGCTGATTCTAAATATGAAAACTGCACTTCAGTACACTGTTTCTTTCATGAGTTATTTCAGATTTAGGGTAACAACTAATTTTTTAATGTTTGTCAGATATGTGAATACGCCATCAAAAAAGCTCGAAAAACTGGTGGAAAGTTATGTAGTGAAATCAGCACGCCTGAAAACCTTGATACAGAAATTTTTAGATTTTTTCGAAATTATTTCATCGAAAGGCTTATTCCACAGTGACGCTGTATGCTGAAAGTTCATGCCGTGACCCTACAGTAAAAAAGATTGATTGCTGATTAGCTCCATACTGCAAGTCTAAGTTTATTCTCGCGCTACAGAATGGTACCTCAAGCTCGCAAAAGACATGAAAGCAAAAGAGTTATTAACGATCAAACAGTGTGCACATCTTTTTGGAACACTCTGTATATAAAATCTGGATGCGTGAAAAGTCCTGAAAAAATTAGTTGCTTTCATTATTTTTTTTTGGTTAGTGAAGAAAAAAAGTTCTTCATGTATTTGCCAAAGCCGCTCTTGGCCGCATAAAGAGGATTCTGTGTTTGGCCTTTTAAAGGCAATAGCTCATGAGATATATCGATACAAGTACAAAAACCCCATATACGTTTCTCGGGTTCTACATGGAAAAATAAACAAATCTACTGATAATATCAGATGTTGTGAGATATCAGTGGCAATCCCAGGATTTCGGAGCGGGGGGGGGGGGGAAATTTTATGCAAATGAAGGTGCATGGAGTTAGCCACGCACTCCGAAAAGTTTTTGGGGTGCCTCTCAAAATTTTTGCGGCTTCATAACCCCTCCGAAAAAAAAATTTTTACAAGGCTAATTTGAATCTATATATTAGGTTGATTCATATTTAATGCAAGTTTTTCTCACCTCTTCTTCCAAGAGCTGGTATTTGATGAGTAATCAATACACTCAAAAACTTTTTATGCTATCTGAAAGAGCGTTTTTTCTAGTTTCTTACAAGGGTCTTCGCTTTCGTAGATCTCCGCTCATTCCAGAGTTCTGAGCATTCAAATAAAAGAGACTAAATCCCAAAATTTTCGCTTTTCACTCTTTTTGCCCTAGATCCATGAGGAATAGCCGGATTATTTTCAAAAAATATGTTTGAGGATCAGGAAAATTTGTGTTATAAGATGCTATTTGAATAAAATTCTCCATGAATTCTGAGCCGAGAAATTCAATTGCGAACTTGAATAATCGTCGCTGCCCTTCCGTGCCATATAAAACTTTGGAGCAAAAGGCGATTGCAGGTCTTTTGCACTATCCAGCAAGGTTAGGCCTAGTTATTTGATGGTAGAAAAACGCTAGGGTTTTCTTACTTTCCAGCGGAGATAAATGAAATAATTTCAAAAATGACCGATTTTTGAACCAGCCGAGATGCCAAAAATGCGAGTACTTTCGACTTTTTCGCAATATTTTCTTTCAAAAATTTTCCGTAAAATCCAAGCTTGGCACTACTGCTCAAGAGACCCTCGGCTACACGATGAGCGAAGTCTACTTTATCCTACTTCATTTCACATAAGTTATGCCCTCTCAAATAGAAGCTTTTGAAAAAAAGTTGTTGGCAATCTTCAGGCCAGAAAATCTTTCTTGTGATAGATACAGTCACGCAAAAGTATCTGTTTCATAGCCACTAATTTGATGGTTACAGCAGTTTTTATTGCGCCCAGAAATGTTTTTTCAAAAAAGAATTATCTTGGTTGAAAGTTGAAGTATAGAAAACGTGCATTAATTATGAATCAACCTAATATCATAACTTATAATAACGGGCTAACGGTTGTTTACGTTTGTGTTGTGTGTGTGTGTGTTGTGTGTGTGTGTGTGTGTGTGTGTGTGTGTGTGTGTGTGTGTGTGTGTGTGTGTGTGTGTGTGTGTGTGTGTGTGTGTGTGTGTGTGTGTGTGTGTGTGTGTGTGTGTGTGTGTGTGTGTGTGTGTGTGTGTGTGTGTGTGTGTGTGTGTGTGTGTGTGTGTGTGTGTGTGAATTTCTGTCTGTCACGAAATTCGTAGACGAGTTCCAGCAAAGGTCTTGAGCTAGAATTTTGGTAGTAGCACCCTATCAGCAGGTAGGTAAGATGTGCAAAAGCACAAGCCGATCCGATAATTGGAACCTGTAAAATTGTGCGTCAAACGGATCCACGCGACACTTTTGCGCGCCAAAATGGACCTGTAATTGGACTTCTTTCAAAGTCATGGTTTCGTTTAGCAAGTAAATCCGCAAACCATGGACCCTAGCCCGAAAAGTGAGCAAAAAGTTTACTTTCGCGCAAGATCGGCGCCAAAAAGGGATAATTGCGTAGATGATCGATTTGTCAAGGTTTTACCTGGGAATGCGGGACAATTTTTGCTCAGAGATGTAACTCACGGTTGCCATCATCTTCATGGCGAGTATCAAGTCATTATAACCCCAATAACTAATTCAAAATCGCATTTAACCTTTTGAAGAATACTTTCTTTCCCTTAAAGTCACCGATCTTACATGAAAAAGCTTTTAGAATGAGTAGTTGTTTACATTTCATTCGTGATGATCCGCTCATTTTGCGACTACGAGGTTGGTATGTGGATAGTAGCCAGTGCGAGCCTCTGCGAAGCAGAGGTGACGCACTGGTATATATATATATATATATATATATATAGAACTCAAAATTTGTGTGTTCGTATTTGTTCGTTCGTTATAGAAACGTCCGCCAATGAACCGATTGAGCTTAAACTTTGCACATATGTATTCGACCCCAGAGGTGCTTTAGCGCTACTTTTTGCGGCGATTTGCTGGACTATTCTATTGATTTATTGATTTTTCGCATAAGAATGAGTTCCCAACATGGGCTAACAAGTCATTTCTATGATTTGTAAACAACAGCAGTGGAGTTCATCCGATTCTCGCGGTAGGAAGAATGCGGTGGTCTAAGAGAAGCATACAGCGGGTGAGTTACTTTGATACAGAAACCCTTTACTGCGCAACACAATGGCTAGGTGGGAACGGGAGGGGAGGGTGTGGGGGAGTGGAGCAAAGTTCAGTTGACGTGTCCCGGGCTAGACCGGGAAAACCAGCCAGTTTTTAAAAATTTCAAAAATTATTTTAATTGTTTACAAGAATAAACAAGTTACTTGCAGATTTTTATAACCCATGTAAGTAAATTTCAGAAATTTCGCGACCCATTCTGCCCCCCCCCCAGCCCTCCTCCCCTCTGGATCCGCCACTGCTGAATATATGCTTAAAGGGTACACCCAAAATTTTGCCTCCCATGTTTTTGTCATCATGGGGCTTTTCCGTAACCGTGATCACAATTATGAAGTTCAAACTCTCCAAAATCCCCAAAAAACCCAATTTCCCTAAATCCTTTCTTCAGAGGGCGAACAAGCTTCGAATCGCTCGACCCCGTCGGCATGCCAGCGGGGAGCAGCTGCAAATGCATGACAGCCTAAAGTTGAATGCATGACAGCCTGAAGTTGCAACTGCAATTGCAGTGTACGCTTACAGCTTACGCTGTCGTGGATTCGTTTGAAGGAGGCGGACCGCAAAAAGGGGCGGAGCGCAAAAAGAAAAAAGCTCGTTTTCTCCTCTTAAAAGCAACATGGAAGGGCCCAAAACAAGACCAACACAGTTGAAAACTGGGTAGCATAGTTTCTGGGTGTACGCTGCTTTTGAAGGCAGTGTCCAGGCAAATCTGGGCATATGGGTTTTTGCCTGGAAGCTGATGAGGAGGTTCTAGCTGAGGCACTGCCCAAACCGCGGCGCGAATCCATTCAAAGATGACAGATCCATCCCCAAACCTCCGCGCTGGCCGTGACCGTAGTGCTCAGGATGGGTCTCAGCGCGAGGTAGCGGTGAAGTGAGCAAAGTCGCCTTCGGGTTACGGTCACGGCGCAGCCGCGGAGTGTTTGGAAATGGATTTCCAGCTATGAATGGATCATTTGTGCTGCGGTTTGGGCAGTGCCTCAGTCAGGACTTCCTCATCAGTTTCCAGGCAAAAAACCCATGCGCTTAGATTTGCTTGGACACTGCCTTTAAGCAAGTAAGAAGCTCGTAAAACTTTTATAGTCGAAAATACGGCTTTTCCTCGATTTTCTCAACACTTATACAAACAACATACATCCACACACATACAAACACCAGTGCGTCACGTCTGCTTCGCAGAGGCTCGCACTGGTCCCGCTATCTGTATGCCTTACTCATTCTCGCAATGGAGACATTGGAACTCGCCGCGCAATAATGACTATTACGAATGAACTATAAACAACTACTCATTTCAAAGATTTTTCATGTGAGATCGGTAATTTCGCGTGGATGAAACTTTCCCCAAAAGAACAAATGCAACTTCAAATCGGTTTTTGGAATTTCCATGGGTTGGTAGTCGCCTTAATGACAATAATCATCGGGGCGACATCTATGTGCAAAAATCTCCACTGATCAGGTAAAATCTTGGCAAATTAAACATTTACACAGCCAGTTTTTTTTGGCGCCGTAATCGTAAGTTAATAGACTTTTGGCCTTTTTGGGCTAAACTCAATGACATATACAGATATACATGTCAAATAATGTATTCTTGTCCTTGTGAAAAGTCCAAACACGGCTCTGGTTTTGCGCGCCAAAACTCGCTTGGACCCCTTTGATGCGCAGTTTCCGTAGGCTCCGCATAGCAAATCCTCTCAAGCTTTTGGATAATGGACCTACATGCTGGTGACGTGCGTTATGCAAAATCCTGGCTCGAGATGTTTGCTGCAACCCGCTCTATGAATTTCGTGACAGATAGATATACACGCAGGCAAATTAGAGGTCTAAGCGCTTTATCGTTAAGTGATACACAACATACACACCATACACACATACAAACATACAGCATCATACACACATACCACCTATACACGTACACACATACACTAATATACACCCATGCACACATACACACATACACTTAGAAAAACACGCACCGGTGGACTGATAAGGTGATGTTAATGAAATGCTCGGTTGATTTTTCTAAAAAGTATCCAGAAAAGAATTGAGCGCGGGTACCCATAAGTGAATAATTGATAGTAGTTTTTTTATCTTATTTGCAAACTAGTATTTTGTTCGGAGGAGTACATGATTTGTTAAAAAAATTTGTTATGAAGGGAGGGAACTTTCGGAAGTACATGCTTTAAAAATCACACGACAATGAGACCGCATCATGAAGTTTGCTGCGGAGCAAATATGACAGATAAAAAATGAAAATATTGTTATGACTGGGCTCAAGCATCTCATCAAGTGTTTGCACGTAGAACAATCTACATTATTTTATTTTGATTTAAATTTTCTACCGAAAGATGACACCATTCGCACGGACAGGGCCTTAGGACACGTCTATTTGCCATGACGCGTCATGGCTCTCTCTAATCTTTCTTCGTTAAAAAAAACCTTTTTTGGCTTGCGCCTTGGATGCGAAGCAGTGTGTACGAGATTCAATACTGCGTCCACTATTAATTTTAGAGAGTGAAAATGAAAAAAATTCAAGTATTTCAGATTGTCTTCAGGAGGAAGTTGCATCAAGAAAAGACTGCAGACGTATTGTTGGCGATGTCACCTATGAAGACTATCTTTCAGAAGTGTTCAGACGCTTCCCACATATCGAAATTCATGGTATGTTGATCTTTGAAGACAGAGAGGATGTTGATTTGTCGGCGCTTCAGAATGTCACTGTCATAGGGCATGGAAGTAGGCAGATATTCTCGAAGATTTTCGCGGTATCAGTTCTATTCCATTACAGCACCAGCTGTGTCTATAATCAATAATGCAAACCTCGTCGATGTTAGTGACCTGTTGTCCATGAAAATCTCTGGGAAGGAGCCACTACTGGAGATCCTGGATAATGACAAAATTTGCGCTCCTGCTGAAGTGAGGAGTAAAGTGCGGAAGTTAGCGCAAGCAGATGTGCCTTTTGATCGGAGCTGCTGTAAATTTGTTCTTGACTTACGGTATTTGAGTCTCTTGAATCTTACCTGACTTTAGTGGAATCATGTGAAGGAGGATTTGTTGATCAACGATTTCTTAGAGAGTTCAACAAGTCAAAAAACTGTCGTATCATCATTGGCGATTTAGTCATAATAGGACTTAGCAGTAAGTTGTATCACTTGTCTGAACTTGAAGAATGTCAGAGCTTTAATTTTCTGAAATTAACAGGACTACCTTGACTTACATTGAGCTTTAGAGTGTGCCCTGATAGCAATGTTTTCTCCTTTATAAGTAAAATCAGATGTAATGATAATTGTAGTAAAACATTTTCTGTATCGCGTTGAAATCTCCATACTCCAGTTTAGATTCTTCGTTCAGCTTGAATAATGTGTATATGTTGAAGCTCTCAAACTGTGATCCAACGGCCGCGGTGTCCGGGCAAAACTTCTCTCTCCAGTTTTCATCTTTTGGAATTTTGCATATTCTCGCGGAAAATGCGCGAGAATATGCAAAATTTTCTGCAGCCGTCGTAAGTAATATTGAAACGCACGCGTTCATCAATATCTGCAACCATCATGACTTACCATAATGGACTCAAGGGCCTGTAGTGAACCCACGAAATGAATGGTCATGTAAAGAAAGCGAGATTACGAACGTGTCCATCTAAAGTACATGCTGTTCACGACCATACCCTGGTCGCTGCAAAACTTGCACCCGCTGGCTTAGGTATAGAAGCTACAGGGCCGGGCATACTTCACGCGATTTCAGTCGCGACGCGATTTGGCAATATTCCAACTGTCCGTAACTCACTATAAGCACAAATCAAAGAGAATTTTTTTATACAGAAGATGGGGCATTTTATCAATTCTCGTAAGTTATACACACTAGCTTGTGCAGTTTGCTAGTGTTGAATCTGAAGACTTCCGGCAAATTGCTAAATCGCGCCGCGACTGAAATCGCGTGAAGTATGCCTGGCCCTTAACGAAACAAATGAGGCAAACAGGACAGTTGCTTGCAACATTCAAACAACTTCATAAGGAGACTTGATTTGTACCAACTCTTTGTAAAGTATAAAAGTGTGACCTGCTCCGCCATGTTCACAATAAAGGCGCTTATTAATGGTGCCTTCGCAAGGATTGGTGATAGCTCAGCGTCATTGTCGAACACCGCTGTCTTATGAAAGGGAAGGGAAAGGGGTACGCATCTCGCGTGAGCACACGTTTTGCAAACTGCTTTGTTAGAAGATTTTCACGTAAAAGAACAAAAATTACTAATATCTTTCGTAGTAGAGGAAAATAAAGCATGTAACATAAATTATAGCTAATACACTAGAAAATTTGGAATACTGCAAAAGAATCACTACTTCAGTTATTGCGAACATAAGTTATTCCACTAACCATGACGCCAGAAGGTTCTCTTGCTCAGACAGAAAGAGAAACGCAAGGTATACAGCTAATGAACAGCAAATTAGCAAACGTACGCCATTTAAGCACTAATGGCAGACATAAGGAAATTAGGACATGGAGAAAAATTCGGTGAGCAAATGGATTGCAGTGCGGGATCAAAAGGGAAAAATGGCTTAATTACAAGAATAGAATAAAGGGACTCCTAATATATTAGGTTGGTCTGAAAGTTCTTGCGCATCATTTTTAGAAAATCATAACTTCCTTGCCACTGGATTTCTTTAAAATTATATTTACTCGAAAGAGGAATCCATGTTCTTTACAGCAGTACCTTTGCTATGAATTACTTTGGGAAACTTCGAGAATTACAAGTAGTTGAAGAAAATCAGCCAAGATTGGCATTTTTCGAGCTGGGTCACGGAAAATTCTGAAAGTATTTTTATTTGATAGAGAAAATTATGCTCATTACAGTGGTACTTTTCCCATGAATTAGGAAAAGATCGAGAGTTAGGAGCAAATAAAAAGAATTTCTTCAATTTTGCAATTTCTGAGCATGCTCAAAAAAGCCTAAAAACGTCACAGAAAAGACGGAAAAGTCGTGAACATGGGTTTTGTGACCTTCTCTTTCTAGCTGGACTGAAATCGTGCCGATCGAGAGCAATTTCGTTTTTCGTGATTTTCTCGGATTTTCGGGCCTGCGTTTTTCACGAAAATCAAAATTGCTCTCGATTAGCACGATTTCAGTCCAGCTAGAAAGAGAAGGTCACAAAACCCATGTTCACGACTTTTCCGTCTTTTCTGTGACGTTTTTAGGCTTTTTTGAGCATGCTCAGAAATTGCAAAATTGAAGAAATTCTCTTTATTTGCTCTTAACTCAGGATCTTTTTCGTTTCAACTCATGGAAAAAGTACCATTGTAATGCAATAATCTATCATATAAAAATACTTTCAGAATTTTTCGTGACCCAGCTCGAAAAATGCCAATTTTGACTGATTTCCCTCAACTGCTTGAATTCATGGCGAAGGTACAGATGTAAAAAGCATGGATTCCTCTTTCGAACAGATATAATTTTAACGAAATTCATCGAGTGGCAAGGAAGTTATGATTTTTTAAAATTGATGCGCAAGAACTTTCGGACCAACTTGATATGTTAGGTTGCACCGAAAATTCTGTCGCACCATATTCAAAAAGTCGTAACTTTTCCCTTACGCGATGATATTGCATGGCTAAAATGATATTGGAAAGCGGATACCATGCTCTTTCTAGTGGTACCTTGGCTGCTATCCATTTCACTTTGATTGTAGAGATAAAATTGGAGAAGGGAAATCGCTTCAAGCCCGGAATTTCGAGGCAAGCCCGTTAAAAAATCCAGAACCGTGCCATAAAATCCAAAACAACCAGTTTCGTAGGTTTTTTGATCCCTTCTTTCTAGCTGAGCAAAATTCGCGCTATCGCGCTTTCCTTTAAAGTTATGATTTTCGGAAAAAATGCCAAAAAATCAGTTATCTAAGAAAATTGATTTTTTTGCATTTTTTTTCAAAAAATGCGTAGCCTTTAAAGGAACAGCGCGATCAGCGAGAATTTTGCTCGGCTAGAAAGAGGAAATCAAAAAACCTACGAAACTAGTTGTTTTGGATTTTGTGGCACAGTTTTAGATTTTTTTAACGGGCTGGCCTCAAAATTCCGAACTTGAAGCGATTTCCTTTCTCCAATTTTTTCTCTACATTCAGATTCAAATGGATAGCAGCCAAGGCACCACTAGAAAGTGCATGAACTGCTCTTTTCAATATGGTTTTAATCCTGCAAAACCATCGCGTAAGGAGGGGTACATTTTTTTTGAAAATGGTGCGACAGAACTTTCGGTTCAACCTAATATTTTGTGATCGAAATAAACTCACCTTTCCGAATTACGAAACTTAGTGCAGCAGAAATTTTCAAAATAGAGAGTCGCTCAGTGGCTTGACATTTGGGGCGCTTATCAGCTGTTGATATCGATTGTATTTGGCGTGCGTTGAACCGAGCGCTGTGTGTCTACGGTCATTGCGCACAGAACGAACTCGGCACACTCGACCTCTAGTCTTTTGCGCCTTCTTGCGTCTCCACGTTGAGCCCACTATTTTTCTTTGTCTCTTCCTCAAGTGACGACGTTCCGACGTGCACGTCCTCTGCGCGCGAAGATGAGCACGTCCTGCAGTCACGACGTCCAGCAATTTCGCGCGGCCATGATAAGAGATAGCCGCCGAACGAATCGCGCCGAAACGACACTTACTGGGTACGTGCGATGTTTCGGACGTCGCGACCATTACGACGGGGGGATTGCTACGGGCCAAGATGTTTATGTGTTTTTGGCTTCGAGCGGAAGGGTGTCACTAAGCTTCTTTCAGAATCAGTCTTTTGTCGCTGATTCATTGACTTCCGGCGTTTTTTGCTTAGCACTTTTGTTATGACTGGCCCAAAAGGCTAGAAAAAATTATGAGATTTGAACCAAACTTCGCACACATAAACTTCTGAACGAGTCTTTTGTTAATAAGCTTTTCAGCTAATGTAGACCAAACCGATTCCCTAATTTTTTCTTAACGCTTTTAGGGTAAAAATTGGCGAAAAGGAAAGAATAGGAAGGCATGGCTGTTACGAATACATTATTTATTTCTTCAATTATGACTTTCTCTTCTATTCATCAATTTTTTTGTATATAACGTCCTCGACAACTGACTGATATTTGGCTACGCATTAATTCCTTTCTTAGCGGAATTCATCAAGCAGCTAATTTAATTAACATAATCAGAAATGTCATATATCCACAAAATCAAACATTACCTCTATATCAATCCAATGACAATCAGCACCCTTATATCGCCCCTCCTTTTATTCATACCTTAACGCCATTCTCACGAACTGCACATATTTGAATGCTTCCACTCTCAACGCCATGATACCGGCATTCATCCTTTACGGCAAGGTACACATCCAGCCTTTCTACGTTGTTGACTGCACATTGTCTGTTGCTTAGAATATTAACTCAATTCATATTGAAAGGCAAATGTGTCCTCATTCATCCTCGATCTATATACAAACCGAAGCGTTTTATGCAAACTAACAAATTCACTAGCAAATTCTTAGTTTGCGAAATACAGAGTGGGATGAAAGACATACCAAGGCAACGAAGCTGCCAAATACCAGTCGAACCTGACGCGTAGCGTCAGAGAGCGGCTGGTATAACATATTGCAATGAGTATTTTTTCGAATGTTACTCAATTGGGGAGCAATTCATAATTCTGGAATTGAATAATGCATCCGTAATCCCAAAGTTTACTTACTCCTCCCTGCGCCCACTCACAGCCTCGTAGCTCAAAATTCGGAGAAAATCGATGAAATTAATGTCGAATGATAATGAAAATCATGACTTATAATAAGCCGCTTATTTGTCAGTCCGTAAGTCTGTCTGTTACGAAATTACAGTGAGGAATGATTTACGACACTAAATATTATGTGAGATTAAGATATTGAGTATGGTTCATTTTTAACTACGGGTCTCATGATCTCATGTTGCAGTCAACCGAACAACGACTGGAGAGACAAGCTCTCAAAGAGTGAGTTTACCTACGGTTCATGATGGCCAGTGCGAAATTCTGCGAAGCATAGGTGAAGCACTGGTTAGCCTATAACACCCGCTCCACCCTGCAATGTATGTGTGCAAAGTTTGGTCCGCATCGACTCGGACATGGAATCTTTTACACCGTACTCAAGTACACATGGACAGAC